TCGTTGTGGGCTGTGACTTCTTCTCCAGGCCGTAACGCTGATCATCTACTGCATAACGTCCCCCGGTTTGAAGGTCTGCGGTGGTAGTAGCGCTGCCCTTTCTGCGTTGATAGCGACCTGGTCCACAGGACGCTCATCTGTTGTCATCCTAGATACCTCGGGTACCGTGGAGATCTGCGCTGAAGTCACCAAAGGTGACTGGTCGTTACTTGTGATGAACCTCTGGGAAGATGATCGGTTGATCATCGGAGAGTCCCTGTACCGTCAACGGAACAATCTCGGCAGAGAAAGTTCTTGTAGTCTGCGCAGACGTCCCCGTAGAGTTGTCGTCATCTAAGGGGCGTGTAGCCTTCTCTGGGTAGAGGATGGTGTCTATACATCGTCTGCGAAGTTGTAGACGCTGCCCTGTCTGCGTTGGTGGTGACGGGACCCATGGGAAGCTCATCAGTCATCAGCGTTGATACATCGAGCTGATTGTGGATCTGTGCTGACATCACTGTAGCTGATACCGGTCGTTTCTTGAGATGAACCTCGGGAATGATGAGCGGCTGCTCATCATACAGGCCCTGTTCTGCGATGGGAACAATCTTGGCCAAGAAAGTTTGTGCGGTCTGCGCTGGCTTCCCCTTGGTGGTAGACGCTGCCCTGGGGGTGCAGAGTCTGCGCTGAGATGTAGATGCGCTCTTAGTCTAGACTGCGACGACTGGATGTCTGGCGATGCAGGTCGCTTCTTGGAGACGGCGGACTGCATCCCACCCCTCTCCTCCAAGAGAACTCCAGCGGAACACCAGACGGGAGGGGATCATCCGACAGCAGTTGACTTGAGAAGGATTCAGCCCCATATCCATGCCTGGATATAGCTTACGTGACCTATCTGCTGTGCGTCACAAGACGCAAAGTAAATATTTGTTAAATGCAGAATTATATAAATTATTGCAAAAACTGCAACCTGAATTGAAAGAACATGGTACAGTACGGCTAGGGCATATTAAATGCGGATCAGCAGCAGAAAAACGTAACTTGCAAACAGTACAGATTTTCATCAACGTAATCTACTGAACAATCACGGCGTCCCGTGAATAAACAGTAGTAAATACGAGTAAATACGAATAAATATTAAACCATATTGTTGAAGGATACTAGCTAAACCTCTATAAGAGACTTGTAAAGGTAACTAAGTAAGAATAATCAAAGGATATAGTGCCGTAGGGAGACACAGGCGCTCTCACATCCTGCTCACTGGGCGAAGGAGAGAGTGAAGAATGTGGGAAGAGGCGGCGCCTCCTTTCCCGAGCATTTCGGAAAGGGAAGCAACTCTTGGTGAGTACTAATTAGTGATTTTACATTGAAGGGAGCTTCAATTAGGGAGATACAAGTGTTCCAGTATGTTCGCAAGAAGAAGAAGACAAGCAAAAGAGCATGAGTCAGGATAAGGAAAAATAAATAAACTGAGTCAGAGTTATTCTTAGTGGTATGTCTATGTAGTCAAGTGTTTATCTCCCTTGGCTGTGACATCACAGCGTGGTTGTTTGAAAATCCTCATGATTGTTCTGAACCATCTTCTGCAATATATAGCGGGGAGGTAGGGTGGGACCTGGACCCCATAATCCAGAGGTAAGTTTATTCACAATTACTAACAATACATGTAAATTGTTCCTGAAGGACAGAAACTTTAGTGGTGTATTTTTCATTGGCTCGTTGTGTGCTTTCTACAGGGATTGAAGAACTAGGCTAATTTCCCCTTAGGAAAGACTGCTGGTTCAGAAATATCATTAATCTGGAAGGATCTGATCAGCTTGTGAAGAGAGCTATTAGAGCCTACTGCATGTCCCTGCATATCACATACTGAAGCAATGGCAGATCTATACACTTCGATGGTACTATGCTCAACCTTCTTGGTGTCTCTTCTTGGTGATATAGTAGAAAATCTGCAATCAGTGGGATAGATATTAGAGTATCAAGGAGTTGTCGGTATCATCTCCACTCGACAAATCTGTTCCACTGTACAAGGAAGCTGTAGAGGGTCTGATCGACTGAGTTATGGCCAATGTTGCAGTACCTCTCACAAATCCCTGTTGCTTGAGTGAACTGCAGATAGTTTCACACGTGCAAACGAAGTTGTATCGTGTACAACGATCTGGTCAGCCAAGCTGGTGCTACTAGATAGATTACACAGTTGTGTGGGTAAATCTTCGTTAAGACTTTTGGGATAAGTTTGAATGGAGGGAAGGCTGTCATTTTCTCCCAGGATATTGTCATTGCATCCACTGCCTAAGCTGATGGTTCCGGTACTGGGCTGACATAAACTGGTAGATGATTGCTGGGGCAAGTCGCAAACAAATCTATCGTGTGGGAACTTCCCAGGTCTCTCCAATCACGTTGAAAGCGTCACTGTGTAAAGTCCATTCTGTTGTGATCACCCGATCCGGCCTGGACAGAGAGATGTTCACTCATCCAGGGATATGTTGAGCTCTGACAAAGCACTTCATAAAATCCGTCATCGTAAACAGCTGCTGGGTTACCTGGAGAAGATAAGATCTGGTCCCTCCTTGCTTGTTGACATATGCTACCTACATAGAGATGTCTGTTGCCAACATAATGCTCTTCCTGTGCAGAAACCAAGCCCAGTGGTGGAGTGCCTTGACTACTGCTAACATCTCCAAAATATTGATGAGGATCATGCTCTTTTCTATTGTCCACTGGCCTTGTACCTGAAGATGTTCCATGTGAGCACCCCAGCTCATTGTTGATGCATCTGGATATATGGTTAAAACCAGGGCAAGTGGATGGAAGCCCCCTAAAGATTGCTTGTATCCTTTGTCCACCATAGAAGTTCTTCTCTGACTCTCTGGGAAGGTTATGAGTGCCACTAGATCGTAAAATCTGTGCTGATGTATCCAAATCTGGGATTCTCGCTGATGGATCCTGGCCCAGGACGTATAGACACTGGAGGGGAACTGAGAAGCCGGAAAATCTTGTCCAACGTTCTGGCGGTGGATAGATGTAGCATACCCGTGCATCTAGTATCGCTGAAAAAAACTTGATCCTGGGTGTTGGTGTCATTTCGGATTTTGTCTGAATGAACTATCAGTCCCAGGTGGGTGAACACCCAGTTCTTGTTGAGAGTGATGAGATCATGATCATGCACATCTCTCCTGTGTCTTTCTTTGGTACCAGAAAAACAGGAGAACAGACACCCTTCGATGTGTCTTGGGTGGACGGTTCGACTACTGCTTTCTTCTCTAGTAACTGCTCTATCGCCAGGGTAGCCACTGTCCCAAGGAAGGATGTAACCCTGCTCTATTACTGAAAAAATCCAACTGTCTGAGGTGATCTGTTTCTAATTGTCCAGGAATATCAATAGTTGACCCCCACAGGCAAGGGGGTATAAGCCCTTGTGATAGTGATCCACAACAGCCAGTAGATCGATCACACGGACCACCCATGGCCCGCGGCTGCCGTCCGCTAAACTTCAGCCACACCACCCGTGCCTGTCGTACCTGCCATGGTAACTGCTTTTACTCTCTGGGCTGTCTCCGTGAACATGGCCTGACCACAGTCCACTGGCTCAATCCCGTTGGGCTCTTACAGCTCTGTCCCATCCCTGCGGATAACGGCAGACTGCCAAGCGGGTTTCATGATAGTAGGGTCAACCACAAGCGGCTGCTACCCAAACGGACGGTAGGGCTTGTGCGGCTGTAGCCAGCATCATACGGCTCACAGCCGACTGGTTATGTGGGTCTGCTGTCTAATCCACCTGCCGCTGTATTCTTATGAATTTTGCCTCGTTCCGTAACTCTCGACTCTGCCAGGGACTTATTCATAGAGGCATTAAGATCATACTTAAATAACAAGAATAACGCTGTAATGGCGGCAAGATCTAACTGTCCCGAGGAAGAGCGCAATTTAGCCTTAGATTTGCTTTTGGATTCCCGATTTGGTGGAAATCGTAGTAGATCGGGAAGAATTGGTACATTTTGAAGGTTTCGAGCATTAGGACAAATTCTTTTACTGAGAAAAAGAATAATTAGCGTCCATCTTAATCCAGTTTTCCCTAGATAATTCTTGGCAAAGTAAACAGCGATATTCTAACGAACAAGACTTACAGTCCATTTGGCTCAAAAGTGGACAATTGTAACTCGTTTGTTAAACAACTTTTTTTATTTCAAGGTCATAAATTCTGCAAAAAACTTATAGAGTTGGTCTGATGCTTTGATTATGATCAGCGTTGCATTAAGAATTATATGCTTACTAGTTTTCAAGTTAGATTGCAATTCATGAGTCCGCTTTTGAGAGAAATGGACTGCAGTTTATTTTTTCATTTCCATTTCTGTATGTCTCAGTGGTACCCACAGATAAAAGGCAAACATAATCCAGAGGGAACATTTGCGACATAATTACACACATTATAAACTATACTGATATCAATCATGTGATTGAGAAAACAACTTGCTTAGAAAGTGGATCTCTAATTCAAAACTATAACTGAATATGTGCTGCTTAATTGTGCATGAGGATGTATCTCACTTTTGATCAACTTCGGTTTCACCAATCAACTTATTCACTAAGTTAGCCCTTAAATGTATTTCTACCATTGTATTTGATAAAGTTAACATAACAATTTGAGTATATTCAGAAACAAGCCCCAAGGTATATTTACCCATTCAGTTTTTATGATATTTGCCAACAATTCATTGAACTTGACCTTAATGTTAAAATAAATTTTAAATTTTAAGAGATTGTCTGGAACTGATCAACAAGTCTGTTCAAGTAAGTACAATTGTTATTCATCACTGTTTCTTGTAAGATTGACCAATGCTGACCAATTCAGATGCTTATCAAACTAAACCTGCCACTTATAAGTGACTATCCAAGTATCAAATTTGCTCACATTTCATGAACATGTGGCCAAGTTATTGTCAGGACACAGAGTGAGATAATTACCAAATGCAAGGCAGCAATTTGAATCAGCATGAAGAGACTAAAATGTGTCAATGTACCTTGTGTTCCAGTATGACTGCAGTCAGCACCTTGAGACATGTGTCCACTCCTAGTAGTTCCAGAGGCAGGTGAAGAGGGAAGTCGATGAGTGTAAAACGTGTGTGGTCTGGTAAGGCAAACAGTATGGGTGGCTGCAGGTCCTTTGGTAGGATGCTCACCTGTCCCAAGAGAACACGCCTGGTATGAGAATATCACCAGATTATCCAACCAAAGATATACCAGGATAACTCAGTTATTAAGACAGTTAATCATAAAGTATAGGCAATACATGCAACACCAAAAGTAGTGCTATCATTTCCTTATTGTTTAAAAAAGTCCCCAAATGAAATGTGTCATGAACCAGTCAGACTAAAGCAGGTGACTAGTAGGTTAGTAGAAACATTACATACTTCGGAATAATATGGAATATTACATAAGGATAATTACTATAATACTTTCATCATTTATGAAGATTTATTGTCTCTAACTGTTTGTGACAGCCAAACAAAACCAAAACCATCAGGAATAAGTTGATCTATAATATTTGATTTTTTTTACCCTCCATCATCTAAATATAGTCACAAGTTGTAATTTTTTTCTCTGCGGCAGTCTTCACCATAAGCAACATTTCTAAAACGTTGTCACAAGCACAAGGTGGATTTTCTATATACCCTCAAAATGAGTCAAATCTCTTGAACCTCTAAATTTCATGTGTGTAAATTTCTTGGTACATAGAGATTACAGAACGAGTGGATGTATTGAATATGGAAAATCATAGATTCAAATCGCTATTACTGGTTTGTATTACAAGGGGTAAGCGCAGTAGTTGGAACTGTGAAACAAATGCACGTGCGGTACGCGAAGAGCGTTAACTTATAACAACCCTTGTCGTTTTCGGTGTTTAATTTGATGTGCATACCCCTTGTAATACAAACCAATAATAGCCATGTGAAACTATGATTGTTTGTTAAACAACTTTTATCCTAAGTCGAATAAAATTCTGAGATTTAAATGTTCAATTGGCAAGGTAAAATCATGAGGATTCGCAGTCTTAATTTCACTTTATGTATTTTACTTTTTGGTTTAAAATGACATTCATCGGTACGTTTTCACTGCAAACAGACTATAGTTTTGTGATCTATTTATTACATACAGGACGGGAAAACAGTGTATTTAAAGAACCGGACAAAAAACGATGAGTGACATTTACGCGTAATAATACAAAGTAACAGTGGCGTACATTATCTCTTTTGGCTCAAGAATATGCATAAATGATTGGTCTAGTTTTCATTGTGAAAACACCAGGAAAGTCAATAGTGAGTAAAATTTAAATTTGCATTTTCAAATAGATTGGTGTACAGGTTACAAGTAATTACATTTCTCAGTCACTGAACACTAACTTCGTCACTCAAACACAGGACGTGTCACTGCTAAACAATGATGACTTGCTGTGAACAGAATAACACCGACTCAGTCGACTTAGATTTAAGAAGTTTATTGTCATCAAGTCTCGTTTTCTTTTCTGGTCCAAAGAGGTTTACATTGATGGTACCTCCATAGATAGGGGCAGTGAAGATGGACTGCACTAATGCTTTACTCCAGTAGCTAATTGTCTGATTGCTCTGGGTAGCCAAGTTGACAACAGCAGTGGAAGGGAGACTGCTGTCATTTTGACGTAACCCGACTAACGCTTTAGTCCAGTAGCTAATTGTCTGATTGCTCTGGGTAGCCAAGTTGACAACAGCAGTGGAAGGGAGACTGCTGTCATTTTGACGTAACCCGACAAGTGCGAGAGAAGTGGATTGATGGCTCAACATTTGACTCAAGGTCCTTGTGTAGTTGTTGATACTCTAGATGTTTCTGTTCCTTGATATTTTGCATTATTTCTGTTTGGGGAATGTTGCCATGAGCGAGTTCTTCAACAAAATACTTTCTACCTCAGTGAATAGTAAACCATTGGTTTTCTAATCCTGCATTTTGGTCATTCGTCTCATGAAGGAGCCCAGTTCGTTAACTCCAACTGGTTGTTGCTTAAACCAAGGATGTATGGCAGACGCTTGTTGGTGGCGAGGAAGAACGGCGAGTCAGGGAGTGAATATCCAGCTGGTCGGAGTTTGCCATATCGCTTGAATAGTGAAACCGGACAACTTTCATCATCAAAAGCCCAAGCTTTAAAACTTACATTTCAAACACCATTTTTACTGTCACCCTAGCAAGTGTTGGACTGTCTTTACTGAAATTCAAGAAATTCAGTTCCATCCCGGTTTGCCTTCAAGGAGACATGATTCCACTTCATGTCATTGTGCAGCTTCGCACAACGGATTCCAAAGAGGGTAGTATTAAACCACCAATGTGAATTCAAAATAGCTTCAGGATAGCTTGTTCCAAGTTGTCTGGTTTGAAAATGTTTGGTAACATCATCAGACGGGGATTCTGAATGCTTAGGTAAGTTACCTTTTCAATCACTCTTAAGAACCTTTTGTTCTGTTTTCACAATATCAGCTAGCTTAGAAAATGCAGCGATACTGAACAGCGATGCACTGTAGTTCCTTGATTTCAGTAGCCTGTCAAGGCTTGAAATCATTGACTCCAAAGATGAGGGCTCGTAGTTTGTGCCATCAGTTTTAATCACACTAATGAACAAAGAGCATAAAATGTCACAAAGTTCATGTTTGGCGATGGTTCCAATAGGATGTAAATCCCCCTTGCTCTCCATGAACGATCCTAGATGCTTCACGTCGCATATTGTTTTGTTTTTACTGTATTAACATTTCTTTTGTCAGTGACAAAGGTATCAATGTCATAAGTGTATGGCTCTTAGAAATAGTCATCATTCATCAAATTTCTCAGCACTTCAGAGGGTAGATCAACCTGAGGAATTGACAGCTTTGACATTGATGGTGACAATGGCTTACTTGGAGTCTCAGCTATTTTCATACATCTAAATTGAGGTACTTGCCAAATTTCTCCTAAAAGCAGTTTCACATTGTAGAGTCTGTATGTCCCTTAAGGCTGAATTATTGATACCACTCTTCCCCGGTCCTTTCCATCATTAGAAACAAAGTCATTTACATTAAGACTGTAATCCATGATGACAAATTAAGCTGACGATGCCAGATGTAAACAAAATGAAAGGGACATAACTCTGTCATGACTACTTTAAAGAGAAAATAAACAGTTACAAATATTCAGTTGAAAAATATTACTAATCCCCAGGACACCGAAATTGAATTTTAATTATCCACAAACCTAATGTTTGGTTTGGTTGACATTTTGGGTAAAAAACTGCTTGAATGGAGTTATGATGTACATTTAAAATATTGAGGTGGCAACAGAAAAGTCACTTGCACTCAAACAACTGATTCAAAAAGCAGTTTGGCATTATGATGTCACTATCATTGAATAACCTAGTTTGGTTGGATAACTTCCTACTGGTTACACAACACCTGTTTCAAAACAAAAATCATCTTAAAAATATTCAGAACACTTGTGTGAAAAATCACAGTATCATCCAACTCCTACAACAAACACATGTATATTTTCTGCTTATTCTCTTCCAAATGTTGGACCCTTCCATCAGATGTGAAAAGGAAAGCACTACTGACCTCTACTCTCGTCTTTCCAGGTACAGGGACAGGGGCACTAAGCAGGCGCAGGATCCATGTCTCAATCTCCCGCACCTCGTGCATCACAAGTGACGAGATGCTGTCACTACAAATTCCTGTCAACACACCCCACACCGTGTCCCTGCAGAACAAAGTAACAACACATCTTTGAGATTTCTGAGGATTCAGAAGCTATATGTGACCTGTTCCATACAAAGAGACCACCTTTCGGAAATTGTGAGCTTCATGTTTTATTTTTCGGCAAGATAAAGGGGTCACAAGATGAGAAGGGAAATAACCCTGCTAATGATTAATTTCTATCATAAAAGGTTGGTTGAATTAGTTCTTTGTTCAAACCAGGGGATATTTTACATAACTGTTTTTAACAGTTGAAATTGATGGCTTTGAACAGAACTATAATCATACAAATACTCAAATGTTTGGACACTGATGCACTGGTGACTAATGTTGTCTTATGTGAACAAAATTGCACTCTCTTATGAATTCAAACGACATTCTATGGGGATATTGTAATTTTTCCGGTGAACTGAACCTTGACGCAACAACACTTGAACATACTTCGAGTCATCCAGTTGCATTTAGAACACTAATGGTCAGTGAAGGTGCTCAAAGATACACAGCTGATAAAATTGACAACCTGTTTGAATCATATCTAACGAAACTTGTGTTTCTGGATAATTGCATTGACATCCAGCGCTCTAGATAAGCTTTTTCCAATCCGAGTATTCTACCCATGGTGTCTGTTATCATGGGTACTAATGATCTTCAGTGGGTACTCAATTTTTCCGATACCCACCCTTTTTCAAAATGTGGTTATTTTCTAAGTCAGTAATTTAACAAATGTTAGCCAATTGTTTGTACTTCAGACATTAACATGGTTTAAAGAGAAAGACATGTTATGTCTAGTAAGGTTAGACATCTGAATACTTGGCCTACTACCACTTGCCCCCACACTTGTAAGGCACAAACTTATCTTTGCCGACTGACAATAAGTGCAGCATAGCCTCATTTCATCACATTGTTTATTGAAAAATGACCATGGAAACTTAACTAGCTGCGTTTGCGCGATTGTTTCTCTGTAGTTCAAAAAGTGCACAGTTACAACTTCCATAGTGAAATTAAATTGATTATCTACCCGATCTTCTCGTAACATTTGACAGTTACTAGTAGCTACTTTCTGTTATGCATTTGTTTTTTACCAGTAAATCAGCTGGCCAACAACTAACCAAAGCGTTTTTGTAACATCCTTTTGCGTATTTTGGCACGATACAGATATATTTCAGTACATATTTTGGAAATTTCAATCACAAGTTTTACGCAGATACACAGCTTATCTAGACTTGTGGACATCAAATGAATGACAATGGTTCCCTGTACTGCCTAAACCTGAGACACTACATGGTGCATTTACACATATGACATAGGATGTTGCCATGAAGTGTGTTCTTAGAGATGTGCCTGGATATAAGTTTATGTTCCATGTGTTCAGAACTGATTTTATATAAAAAAAATATGCCTTACTCATTTTCAATAGTTGGCGACATTTGGTCCCTTTCTATGAAACAGATCACATATATCTAACTAATGACAACATGGTTTGGATGATTAACTTTTTATTACAATCTACTGACAAATGGTGAAACTACCAACTTACTTGCTAACATTGCACTGAACCTCCACAACAATTGTAAAATGATGTTAAAAAATTTCATTCGGTACAGGAGTACAGAAGCTTACCTTGATTCCAGAATGGAACATTTAAGGCTTAAAGACATGCTTCACAAGTTGCTTTGCGTGAATGACATACTAAAGTTGCTCTCAGTCACACAACCTGGTTCAGACTCAAGATCTCTGTTTTTGCACACTTCGTGTAAGTTATACAACACTCACCTTACATTCACATGTCTAACACATATAGCTTGTATCAATGCATGCATTATGTAGCTTGTACCAATGCATACATAATGTACAAACTGCAAGTTTCACTGTTTCCTCTAAATAAGAACTAGCAAGACTAGAGATTTCAAGAGTATGGCTTCTATTCATCATACAAAAAGCAGCCTGAACTGGTTATTTTCACCAGCAAAACATTGAGACATGCCACACATCATGAGAAAATGTGATAAAAGATTCTGCAGTAACCAGCCATGCCCATAAATCTTTAGTTCCCATAGCTTTTGTCAGAACTGGAAAATTATTTAGAAAAACAAATGCAGCAAACTGGAATTGTTTCGATAAAAGAATGAATAAAAGAGATGTGTAACTGACAAAAAGAAAGCTCACCTGGTCAGTGCCTTTGATCCGCCAATCCTCTTGGTACAACTTCTGTCATGACAAGCCTCGATCAGTCTCCTTAGTATAAACAAACATTCTCTAAATGTGGAAAAGAAAGGGTGATGACTAACAATACATAATGATGTCAGAGTGTTGTTGCGGACACGGCTTGCACTTCTTGATTTCCGTTTTGTCCTTGGTGACTTTGGTTTCTCATATTCAACGGAACTGACAATATCTGTTGAGTTGGTGCTACCTATAGAAAGATTCAATCTATCGGTTTTCTGCCAGTCTGAAGAATAACTTTTTTTTTCAAATGGACGAAAGAAGTTAACACAGATGCCATATCTGACAATGCCCGAATCCTTTTCTGTCAGTGTGAAGACAAAAGATGTTGTCTCACGGAGGCTCATTCGCTTTGGTCCCACGCTGATGCATCCTTCAGGCTGGCAGAAGAAGATGACATCTGTTGGTAAGGGGAAATCTTTGTGATCCTCTAGGGGATAGCGGCGGAGTAGTTCAGGAGTCTGGGCAACATGGTTGTTATGGTTGGGGTGCCGACTACCAGTTATAACAATATAATCAAGTAGTCGTGGGCAGAAGTATTTCCTGTCACACATTATGGGATCAAGAGTTTATATCGGTTTGTGACTCGGACCATATTTATCCAATGTTTATCAATGAGTCTGGTTACATGTCATCTTATTCGCTCTTGCATATCCTCTGAATTGGGAAATCTGAAACAAAAAGAGAAGTTTGTAATCAGTTTGTAAACTAATATGTTTATTTATATATATACAGAACCGTAAGCTAAATTCGAGGATAACCTTGATTGGTGGATCGCGGTAATTATTATGCTATCTTGTAAATGAAGTCTCATATGACATCACAAATCAGTACAGATATACACGCAATGCCACACCTCGCTGACAAAAATGTGCCAAATATCTGCATTACACGTACATAATTGTCCAGCACTGAGATAAATAGCCCAATATCACTAATGCCACTAATACTAGGGCTGCAAAATACACTATGTGGCGAATATGATACGTATCATGAATATTGGGCAACGAATACGAATAATTATTCACGAATACAATATTGTAGTTAAGTGATTGATGTACAATATGGAACGTCCTTGTTGACAGTTTTGATTTGTCACACCAATAACCAGTGATCTCATGACACTCAAATTTGGCATGTAATAGTTATAGTCGACAGTACCATGTGCGGCCTTCGCAAACTAACATGACTTGCGCTACTGCAATGCTAGTACGTATTCCATCCTTGCATATCTCACTTTCCAAAAGTACACAAGGGTTCAAGTAAAACATGCTCCCTTAAAAAAATCGTAAATATTCGTTAATATTCGGTTCTGGTGACCACGAATAACAATTGAACAAATTGAAGGGCTACGGTTCGATTCACCGAATATGCGAGTGAATCGTTACAGCCCTAACTAATACCAAATTCTATTTTTACAAAATGTCAAGTACAAAAGATACCGTTGGCACCAACCTTGTCACATCTCGTCGTGTGCTTTCCTAAGTGTCAATACTTACTGCAATGGGCCGTCGTACATAGTGATATATTGTAACCGACTACGTAATCCACAAAACAACGTTACGTCACATTTTGTATGCACACGAATGGGTGATGACTGCAAATGACTTCGGTAAACAAACGTTTCATTCACGAGTGGAATATTAGGCATTTTCAATTTGCTGAATCAATGAATTGAATACAATAATCAGTGAGTATACAAAATGTAATCCTGCATTTAAAATGATTTTCTCTGCACTTCCCTTATATCCATGAAACAAGGTTACGAGAGTGTATATATTTCCTAAGCATACAACTACTGATGTTCAGTTCCAAACAATCAAAGAGTTTGCAAGTACTTTTAAAAGAAGAGGGAAAACGCCTTAGTGTCATTTCTTTCAAAAATGCAGAAATCAAGAAAGAAAACCAATATACTTCCAGTGTCATGTCTTCCAACATTACATTTGGTTAAACTATGGAGGTGACATGTACCTCTGACAAGACACATAGAAATTCCCCAAAAGCCAATTGTAAAGGTTCACACAGTCCCCTTCACACCACTGAGGATGTTCAGTATGAGATCTCATATGATTGTGGAATCAAACACATTTGAGTTATGACACACCATTAGAATACAAGAACACAAGACTTCTGTTGCCAAATATGACTTAACACCTCTCTTTTTTGACCATTAAATCACATCAACAATCGTGACAACAGTATTTTCTGACAAAACAAACCAACCCCTCCATTCAAACATCAACCACTGGAAAAGGAAACTTAAAGAAATTATTAAAATTCAAAGAAAGAAGCTAGCCATGAGTATGCTCAGGGAAACCATGGAAGACCAACCCAGTGTGTCTACAGAGTTTTAACATTTTTCAACCACTATTAGCTTGATAACGGTGTAAGAATCTACACCGAAACGTCACTCTTGTCAATAAACACAAAGTTATTATCCATTGAGTCGTATGCTTTAGCCATATATCATTAACTGTAAACATGGTAAATTGCCATATTTACTGTCTATCTCATAATAACTGTATGTTTGTTACCGCAGTTAGTTCCTCATCACAAAACCCAGGCCCATTACTACTTCTTCAATGTATCCAATTATCTATCTTCCATTAATACCAATGGCTTCCTTGTTATATCGTTATCTTTGTCCAAGCACATGAATCCTACTTTGATGAATCATATGCATTAGTGACTGAACATGTCAATGCGCTTTTAACTCCTAAAGGGAAAAGAACAAGCCTTGAATAATGGTTAGAAAGATCAAAGAAGTTGTTATCCACAAAATATGCCATTTTTCAAGTTCCACCAACGTTTAAATGTCTATCAAAGATTTAACACTGAGTGCATTTAACTAAAGTGGTGTTTTCAGGATGCCTTTACAGATTTCAAACAGTTATCACAGTTAATAATTCCAAGAATACCAGAAACATTCTGTATTGTGGCTTTCATCACACTATAAACTCTTCAGATTTTCAACAGAAGTCCTCATCATTGTTTTCATGTTGCAGTGTAATTTTAAGTGAAACAATCTGTAATTCATAACATTTTGTTTTAACAATAATCAGTCATCAATTTATCATTCTCTAGCTTTCTGGAAGATATTTAAAATATTTCAGTAGGAAAGTGGTAGTGCTGAAGCGATTAATCGAATAATCAGTCAATTGATCGATCTAACTTGCATCAGCGATTATCAATGACCTTGGGAGACTAATCGATATTCATGTATGTAAACAAGACACTCCCATGTGTGTCTCAACAGGAAGTATCCTCAATCATCTTGATTGTGGTATTAATCGGTGCCCGTTTTGTTTGGACAATGTTATGAGTGTGTCACATTAAAGGTGTACTTTACTACACTAAACATGGAGGCAGAGCGCACTGTGTTTCTAAATCAATCTGGCTACTGTGAGCAATAACCAGCACCAGAAAGCTGATGGGTCTCTTATCTCACATTGCATTAAGACTGGTGTCTGTGTGAGGATAATGTTTTTAACTCAGGATATCCAGCCGTGGCCAATTTTGGAACATGACCACTGTTGCTGCTTGGTGAATATCATTACCACTAAATGTACTACTATTACCACTGCTGTTATATTCATACTGTTATTGAAATAGTACTGCCACTGTATTGATTTGTAAACGTAGCAAATTAAATTTGACGCCATTGTTAATTGTCTAACATTTTTTTTGTTGTTGGTTGTATACGAAATTCTGTTGCATAAAGATTTCTGGGTTGACACATTATTTCTATTTTGAAACTGACATGGTGTTACACGTCAACTGTCCATAGATCTGTTTTGCAGTACAGACTCATGGAAGGTTGGCTAATAGGATCAGTTGTCTGATCTAGCTGCCTCTGAATACTTAAGAATTTTGACTGATTCATTTATATCTTGTTTAAATGACGATAATAAAGCCATAATGGCGGCAAGATATAACTTCTCCGATGAGAACGTAACTTAGACTTGGATTTGCTTTTAAGATTCTGATTTATAGACATCGTAGGAGAGTGAGAGTAGGACTTCACGCGTTTAGAGAGCTCCAAGTATGAGGAAAGCTTCCTTTTCTTTGACAACAAAGGACAAACGTCTTCATTTGATAGTCCCTGAAATGTACCTTTGCATTGTTTGCCATGACGCAGAAAACCTGCGTATTTGACGCACAAATTATCTCAAATACGAATTTAAAGGTTGCGTCATTGTTGTCGCAATGCTACTGGGTCCTTAGTTCAGATAATCTAAACTTCTAAAACTAAATGTTTGCCAGTTAACTGCTCAGTGCTGATTAAATACCTGACCTGTCTTACTTTGTTTTTGTTGTTATTAAACAATCACAGTTGATGTCTTGATGAAAGTTCCAAACTGAAGTTGACTCCCAAAAACATTGTCCATGACACCGTCTCATGACGCTTGGAAGTCATGATGACTCCTAAATATTTATGCCAAGAGCAAACACTGCCTTTGCAACAAAATTACACCTCAAACAATTAACAACTACAAAATTCTGCATGGCCATGGCGCAATTTCAGTTCCTGTGGGCTCAAAACAGAAACAGGCAGATATTTTCATATTTCTATAGATTTAAGGCTTCGAAGATGAATACCATTTTTTGATGGTTTGTGTCCAGTATAAAACACTGCATGGGAAGTACATACCTTCTAAATTCATATCATACCCTATACATAACAAATATTATATGCTTTTGGGATCAACAGAATCCTTGATATATTTTCTGCAAGTTGCTTTTGAAGGACTCATGCTGACTGACCATCTGTATGCACATGATGGGCCCAAGGCCTACATTCTTCATGAATAAAGACCTATCTATCAGCAGAGATATGTTATGTCCATGTCAATGTCTTTGGTCTGTGATCAAAATACTATCATAACACCACATGACATTCACAGAGGAAGAAGATGGATCGAACTTGTTCTTGTTATCACAGTTAATTTCCAAAGAGATATGTTGCTAGTCATACACAAGACAAAAAAATCATATAGTTGCAAACATGGGTATTTGCTCTAATGTTGTTTATAGCTATGTGAATACAATGACATTTAGTACAAAATTAATTGTGCTGTTGGAATTACCCAACCACAGCAGTGACCAAATGCATATCCATAATGAAATACAGTTAGACTACATTAGAACCACATGATCGATGCATGTGAAACACCATGAACTGGCATATAGAAGTGGGGTTATTTTCTCAGTTGCCAGAGGACGTAATAAAGCACACTAGAATGCAATCAAAATGTTTGGTTCTTGTGAATACAAGATTAGAGCAACATCCAACTGATGAATAAGTCAGCAGATTCACAATTTGCAATGAATCTTTCATCACCACCTGTATAAGGGAGGACAACAGATTTTGTAGCAGGGTAATGATTAGGACAGAAAAATATCTATTGCAAAGGTGGGGCACTGCCAGTACATGTACAAGGTCCCCCTGTACTATGATTCAGTTCCACTAACAAACATAATGAACATAGACTACAATGGTATTATATGGAAGGTCATATGGTATCCTCTATGATAGAGGATACTAAATGACCTTCCATATAATACCATTGTTATTATTAAAGAGTAAATCATTTGGTATCAAACGAGCGAAATGGTATTTCACAGAAGTGAGTTTAGTATTCTGTTTATAACTCTCAAGCAGGGTCTATTA